CTTTACTAAACAAGATTAAAGTCATGAATATAGAAGCAGGTATGACATTCCTAACTATAGTTCAAAGTCTTGATTGATTTTATCCTCTGTGCATTGCAATATTTCTGTATTTGTAGCGACAACAATCAAAGTGATGATAAAAAATATATTGCTTTTTTGGGTAATTTTTTTGTAAGTAAAATTTACACATTATCTAACAGGTTACTTCAGCAAAACAGTTTCATTCAACAGCACAATAACTGCATTTAATCATATTTTCAAAATTAAAAATGATCCCAATGATCCCTTACTGATTTCGCAGAAATCAGTAAGATTCTTATTTTTAAGACAAATCACAATTCTCCTCAGTGATAAAAAACAAAAAAAAAGACAGATGCATTTATAATGCAAATTCTCTCTGCTTCCCATAAGGAACTATTTTCATAACACTATAATTCAGTCCTAGTAACTACTTCAACTCTGTTGAGCCAGAAGGAAAAACACACAGAGCAATATTTTCAGATCCCAGTATAAATCACACCAATATTTACTGGTCCTCTGAGCAGTCATCCCCCCTGCTGCCCTTCAGCAGAACAACACAGTAAGATAACCTTGAACGATGTTCCTACAAACTACAGGTTGAGCTGGGTAGTTTTACATTTGCAAAGTAAAAAATACACAATAATAAAAACATGAGCTGCAGCCCAGGTGCTGCTGGCGTACCTTAGCCTGACGTTTGCGCCGATGTAGGACTCATAAGGTTTCTCCACCTGCATGAACTCAAAGTCGTAGCTTCTGTTCTGGTTTAGCTCTCCAGGCAAGGCCAGCTCTTTCACCAAGTCCACAAACTCGTGGGTGTTGCTCTTGTCAGAGAACAGCTCTGAGACAACGGAGAAAGGATAATTAGTGATTGATTATTGCTTACATATGATGCCTTTATAGTTTCACTTCATTAGTTTAATTCTCCACTGTAGGGAAGAATAAAACTGGTCAGAGAGAATCACCTCTAAGAGTGAACAACTGTGTCAAACATGGCTTTTTTGAATGAAGTTTTCCATACACTTACAACTTAAATTAAGTTATGTTACATATTCGTTGGTTGAAATTAGTGAGACTTATCCTGTTAATCTTGACTGCAGTTAGCTTCTGCACACCTTAATTGTTTGTTTACTGAAAATATTTTACAACCTCACTGCGCTGAAAGCCTCCTGCTGCAAATTTATCTGTTGCACTACTGTAAATGTGTCAATATAGATCATGTTTGTAATGCTTTAGTTTTCTGATAGACACACAAAACAGATGGGATATGTGTGCAACCTAAGCCAATACAACTAGAAGCACACCGTAATGAAACAATTCCTCCTGCCGACATGGAGAAAATATGGCTTAATTGAAAACAAAGCTGAAAAAGGATGCGCCGAGTACATCTATGATATACAGGACAATTAAAAAAAAACTTAAATTAGCATTACATCAATATGTAGTGTTCAGATTCAGGGTAATCTATATGAGTGTTCGTGCACAGGGTGAGGTGGATTTAACAGGACGGCACATGACGACCACATGCCTTCATAAACCTTTCGTCCACATGACGACATGTGAACCAACTGCTGCGGCACAGAAGCACAGGTCAAGAATGAAGTCAAAACCTGATGTGAATTATAAATCAGACCCAGCTGGCTCACCTATCTGTCCGACAAACTCGATGCGGATCCCCTGATGCTCCAGCCGCTTCCCTCCCTGCTTCACATTTAGATTCACCTGCAGAGGGAAAATTGATTGCGTCAACGTTTATTAATAGCTCCACGCTGTCAGTGTTTGGTGCCATTTTCCTATTCCAGAAGTATTGGACACTCCAACGAGAAAAAATGTCCGTTGTTTTATTGTGCACTGATTGTTCAGCATTAAGCTCTCAATTTAAAATCACAACAATTTAGCAAATTATCTGAAATTATCAAAAAAAATTTTTGTCTAAAACAACATAAAGAATCACTGATAAAGATTAAATATTAGAGATAACAGAACACAAGCAGTGATCCATAAAAATGAAATAAATTATATATATATATATATATATATATATATATATATATATATATATATATATATATATATATATATATATATATATATATATAATATATATATATAATAAAAAATTTAAAAAAAATCAACCAACTAAAATATGTTCTTACTCAGGTTGTAAACATTTGAGTTAAAACTGGCCTAAAAAACAAATTTAGGTATTTGTATCAGAATTTAAAACTTTAAATACCTTAAATTGATTATGTGTTTGTAAGGACAGTTTACTGCTGATTAAAATCAACCACACGCCTTATTTTTAAAATCTCCATTTAAACATTCTAATTTTGAAACAATCCTCTGACGTTAGTCAATTTAAGGTTGGTCACGAAATTAGATAAAAAAAAAACAACTAACTTTTTTCGTCCAAAAGGTCCAAATAAAGTAAATCCTAAATAAAACTGTTGAATTTCCGGCTTGGATACGACATTCATTGTGAATATGTGCTATGTAAATAAACAGAATTTAAAAGATCAAACCTTTGACCCTGTTTAAATTAAGTTATCTTTAGGAGACCTTTAACCTTTGACCATGTAACCGTGTTTTCATGTTGTTTTTACAGTGAGATTTGATTATTTTCTGTCTCTTTTTCAATCACCGATTTTTGCCTTTTGGGCTTTGCACTGTATTTTTCACCTTCATTGTAGCTGCAGTTTTATTTATTAATTCAATTTGATTTCATGACTTAATAGGGATTATAACTACTACATTTAAGGATTTGTAATTCCTGAAAAATACATAACTCCAGTCAAAAAAAAACTCATGCAACAAGGGTTACAAAAAATGGCAACAAACTGATTATTTTTCACAAGTATGAAGTGAAAATGAATCTTGCTCGCAAGGACCATGTTTACCTTTCCAGACACCGACTCTCCATCATAGAATAGGTAGTGTTTCTCCACTTTTCCATCTTCTGTCTTTAACTCAGCGGTTTTTCTGTTCTCTGCATCATTCAGCACCACATCTATCTCACATACCGGCCCAAACAATCCTCCCAGGAAACTCTGGAAACAAAGACAACAGATTACATGAGAGATGTGCCACAGATATTGTGTTAACACCAAAATTGTGGCGAAACAGTATTTTTAATTGCAGTTTTTGGTTTCTTAAATGCACATTGTGCCTTTTTCACCAGTTGCAAGGCTTACATTTACAGCAGGAGGATTTGTTTACACACCATATTACTGTGGGATGTGGGAATAATAAGTTTCTGTGCTTTAAAGCCAAAGTCCCCAAACTGCTAAACCAGACTGAAGGATAATAGCAGCCTTTGATGTTGCCACAACAACCCCAATGATCACCAGCTGCATTGACACATGCTGCAGCTAAAGATGTTGAAGAATGACCAGGATGTCAGTCAGCTGCACAGGAGGAATCAATGAACAGAAAAACTTTACACTGCAGCCACTGAGAAGTCCCAACACAGGCAAATTTCTTCACGATCGACAGAGATTATTGATTTATTGTAAGGAATTTAAAGGGCTGCTGCAGCTCTTCAGAGTGCATGTGACACTTCAACTTCACATTCCAGAGAGCTGACCAGGGCACATGACCAAAACTCACTTGCTGCACCTACATACAAATTAAGCACGCATTAATAAAGCTGCTAAACATTAATGGTTGAGAGGACCGTTTTAAAAAGCTGCTAAGTAGTTAGAAAGCTAAAACATGTCAGAAAAACGGCTTAATACTGATGCTAATTAGCCCAACCCTGAAAGATGATCCCAAACAGACTTTTATTTCTGCTGCCCAGTTCACTTCACAGGCCCATGCGGTGTTGAGGCGTTTATAATCTTTAACTAAAAGTAAAATAACTTCAACTTATTGTCGGCGACGTCTTGGTTTTTACACTCACCATCTCGCCGTCTTGCCAGTTGAAGCTAACTGCTAGCCTCCCTCCGTTTAGCCTGACGGTCTGCAGGGGGAGGAAAGGAGGGGGGCGGTAGGCGTAGTAACAGGTTTCCCGTCACGTGACCTGCGTTGTGTGCGTGTGGGCGGAGTCAGTGGAACGTCGTCAGAAGAGGAGCACGACTGACATATTTTAACTCAGGTAAAGGTTAAAAAGTAGCTGTCCAAGAAATTACTCAAGTAAGACTAAAAAAGTATTCGGTTATTATAATATATATTTGTTAATATTTAAAATTTACATAATCAGATGGGCCAAAATCTAAAGTTAAGTGGAAATTTTGGTATTTTAAGGATGAGAATTACAATAATTTATGTAAATAACACAAAATATCAAAATCATGTAGAATAATTGTTTCCCATGTCAGTTTCTTTCAATAAAAAACTTATGAAACTTCAACAAAAATTGCAAGTGTGTGTCTGGTGATTTTTTCATTCACATTGGGTAGAGTATCCAGAAATGTTACTCAAGACCAGCAATACTTCAGTATAGAATGATTCAAGTAAAAATTTATGTTTTAAAAAAAATAGAAGAGTAAATGTAACTTATTATTCAATTCTTCATTCAAGTAATGAAAAACTTTTTAAAGTGGTGGAAATTAAATTTACTGAATAAATTAATTTGTGGACTTCACATAAACAGAATCTGGTGCAGGAACTCCACAAGAAAATAAGTTTAATTTCCAAGACAACTTGGTTTTGAAGGAAGAGCTGAAACTGGGAAACTTGCAAAATTATAACAAATGATGTATTAATAGGAACACTAATAACTTAATGTTATATTACACTTTTTATAGTTTAATCCCAAATCCTCAAATGATCTTTCACAGTGTTGACCACAAATACCTTGCACATCAATGAAATCTACAAGTGATCCGTCTGAACAATAACAGTTTCGAGAACTAGAAAGTTCCCACAAACCTTTTCGATCCACTAATCAATACGTTTTGATCAGCTTTGTCAAACTTAAGAGCACTGAAGAAATTATAGAAACCATCATAATTTAAAACACCTTCTTATAAAAAGACATTACACAGTTTTAAGCAGGTTTTATTGAATTGCTTATAGATTGAAATGTCAAATGCACATTAAGCAATGTGAAATAAATGGAAACAATATTGCTGAGATGTAGGCATAAACATTGTATAAATTTCAAGCTCGTTTACATCGTAAACCCTTTGAATTTTCTCTTAGGGGTTTGTGTCCACAGGGTTTGCTCACTCTGGATATTTTGAAATGCTGTCCAGTTCAGGGTGAAATAAAATGAAATAAATAAGTTTTCACTGTGGCCTGTTATTCCAAAGATGGCCTGAAAACGTGCAATGGAGTGAAGAAAGTATCATGTTATTGCACTAGCGTTGTCACGATTTAAATGCTGGTTTTATTTACATCACAAACCATGGTAAATTCTTTTGTTTTTCACAAAAATTCTTTTGTTTTTCACAAAAATGCAAAAATACTGAGGAAGCACAGCTTAGACGTTATCAAATTTACACTGACTGGCAAACTATACTGGCTTTTTTTAAAAAAAACAACAACAACAAAAAAAAAAACAGCAGCCATTTTTTTATAGCAAAGAAAATAAATTCTCATGATAATAAAAATAATCTTTTACTCAAATAATCAATTTGCATCTGTGAGTTCCTCCCCTCTCCAGCAGGTGGCAATCTTCTGTTACGTTTTTTATCTAGCTGAGGAGTTAACAATGGCTGACTTTCCTGTTCCGACTATATTTTCAGCAGGCTGTCTTCTTCCAGGTCCTGCTTTGTCGGCTTTGCCTCTTCAACAAGAAAACTGCCAGGGAACAACCTCTTCATGCCCCGCACCTTTCCAACTACAAATACAAGAAGATAAACACATCAGAGGCGGGCAGAGTAACCAAGAAATGTACTCAAAAAGAAAAGTAGCACTACTTCAACATAGTTTTACTCAAGTAAATGTAAAAATGTATCCATCCAAGAAATTACTCTAGTAAGAGTAAAAACGTGTTTGGTAGGAATTCATTTTATTTTTTGTTTTGCTTATTTATTTTGGATATTTAAAATGTGTTAAACAATCACTAGAATTATTGGTCTTTGAATAATATTTCAATATTGTCACAGTAACTTCTGGAACAAAAACTATCATTGTGACAGGCCTAATAATCGAAACCTTTACAGAAATAAAATACCTTTGGGTTGAACAGAGTCTGTCCAGAATTCACCGGAGCCTGTCTCACTTTCAGCTGCTTTGGGTTCATCAGCGACGCTCCAGTAATCTGCAGCAGAGCCTTCATAACCAGAGCCTTCTTCTTCTGGGACGAACCAAGGGGACTCCCCGTCTTCGCTCCTCATCTGTGTCTCATCCTCGTCCTCCTTAGGATCCTCGCCAGGCGGACTCTCGTCCTCCACTGGTTCTGCATCTCTGTAAGACATAATGTTGATGAAAATGTTAGGTTTGTTCTCAAGCCTGAAAGAGACAAAAATAAATAACTTTACGTTTCTTTAAGGCAGTTCACGCCATCCTGGCTCCCCTGCTCTCATCATCAGTACTATTTCCTGTGCTTCCCATTTTGCAGAAGCACCACCCAAGTTATTTTTGCCTTTGTTGGGCCGCTGTAGGTGAAAGGGGAGGGCACAGGTCGGAAACGTTTGGTGGTTTTTCAGAGCTTCAAGTGAAAATACTTGGTTTTTTTCATGTTATTTTAGGATAAAATGTCAATACAGTGTTGTCAAAATCAAGTTTTGTCCTTTATGTTGGAAAAATGGGTTTTATTAGTGCAGGTTTTTCTGATATCACCCTCTTTTTATGCTTTGATTTCAATTAACTTTTTAGTGTGTGTTTTACTCTGGATATTCTTGTCTGATTAAAAAAAATAGTTAAATCTGGAATATTTTACTATAAAAACAAATCACAAATTGTGATTTAGTTTCTTGAAAGACAAAGCCTCATGTTCTCGTTTGCTTTAACCTGTGGATTTCAATCCCTAATTTCACAATTTAGCAACATCTTGACATTGGTAAATGGTTGAGATATTTGATCAGAAATAAATACGTCCCACATGGAAAAGGTAAGGCAGAGCAGATGTCTCTATGCAGCTGTTACTGCTCACGCTTAAAAAATTCGACAATGTTGGGACATACGGAGCAATGAAACAATAGACCAGAAGCAGAGGCCCATGAAGCGTTGCAGCCCACTTCCTCCAAACATTTCCTCTGACTTCCTGTTCAAAGTTAGCTGAGAAGCCGTGGAGGGCTGAGGCGCTGTGACAGGCTCCCAACATCACGGCGGTCAGAGAATATTCTGACACCCAAGAACAAGAGCAACCTTCAGTTTTCTAGGAAAAGCTAGTTAAAAAGAAACTGATGCTTTCTGCTCACTTCCTGACCTGTAATCTGATTTTACATTTCAGAGGAACTTCTGTTGGTATTTAAGGCGATCAGAGTTACAACACTTACCCAGAAATCATCTAAAGCTAAATAATAAAACTCCAGAAACCTAAATGACTTACAGGAGAAGTGCTTGTCTTATTTTTAGAACTTTGTTTTGTATTTTTGTTGTTGTTGTTGTGATGTTACATTCCTAAATGTCACTTGGTCTCTCATGACTGTAAATAAGCATCATTGAAAAATGTTTTTTCACAGCATGCAGCTCCGAGAAATAAATCCAGAACCTCAACTGGACAAAATTAAGTTTGTGCTTCTTGTTTTTGACAAGCTTTCTTCTTTAAAATGCAAAACTACTATAAGAAAAAGAATGGTGGTTAAGAGGAACTCATAAAGAGGAAACTGCGGGTTCAGATTAAGATCGATCAATCTTTAAAAACAAAGGTGAGAAAACTGCACGGCATTTCTGAAGCTCAGGCAAACAAACCAATACCACTTTTAAACATCCAAAAGGTGTTTTCTTTACAGCTTTGGGTGAAATAAAAATGAATTCCTTCACAGGTCAGATCTCAGAGACACAGAGGATGTCATGAACTGCTCTGTGTAAAATGCAAACGAGCTCCATCCTAACAAAATAAACACAAAATAAAATGTTTAAAGTTCTGAAGATCGACTGTGAAAGGTTTTTATAAACGTTGCTGCTAAGAAAGTCACAAAATGTGAAATCTCTTAGCAGGTTAGCATTTTGCAACACCAAAGCAATACTTTAGGGAGGAGAGAAAGCCCTCTGAAGGCATCCTACAGAAATCATTACGTCTCGAAGTAGATTCTCAATTGGACTTTGACTGGGCCGATCTAGCACATGGATATTTGGTCTAAACCGTTCCATGGTGGTTCCGACTGTATAATTAGGGTTGTCTTTTGCACTGTCGCATATTTAACTCCATCTATTTTCACAATAAATCTGGCCAGCCTCCTTGATCTGCCCTGGATGATGCTGCCACCGCCATGTTTGACAGGCAAAGTCTTATTTTTCTACACGGTGCATGCAAGTCTCATTTCATCAGAGCATCTTTTTTGAAATGCCAGCATAGCAAAAAGCTCCTGATAGATTTAATTTTTTTAATTTATCGACAGAATTACCTGCCTCAGAAGTGGATCTTTGTGATTGCAACATACCAAAGTGAAAAGAGAAATTACAGGATTATGGATACGTTTTCAGATCATTTTACTTCTTGCCCACTTTCACGATCTGAAAGGACGTGGCAAGTTTGTAGATCAAAATGTTCCCTTTTTATGTCATGACTTATCCTAGAATTATCAAATGATCGTCCAACACAGCAACAGATAGTAATATTACAACTTAACGATGAGTGCACGTCGTCTAGACTGGAAAAAAACATCAGATATGAAACTTTACAGTAAGTCATAAAATGAGAGCATTTGTAACCACAATGCCGTGCAGCAGAGAGATTGCTTCAGCTTCTGAACTGATGCAAAAGTTCAGTTTGCCTTTAGCAAAATAGTCCCTTTAGTACAACCACACACTTAAAAATTAGAAAACAAAATGACCACAAATAAATCTGCAGCCTTTATTTTGTTTTGCAGAAGGCATGTCTGTAATGTTATAAAGATATGTCTTGATGGCGAGTAAAGATTAGAAAAATACAGCAGGAAACTTTCCCGACACATAATTATCTAGGAATTATCACTCTTGGCCAAAAACTTTTAGTATAAAGGGAATTTAAAAAGCTCCAGCTTTTATGAATAAACTACAAACTTTTTAAATTGTTGTTGTTTTACTACAGCTCTCCCCTCTCTGGCTTTCTGCCTGTCTCTTTCTTCAGCCATCCACGTTGTCCTCTATTTTTGCCTTTCTTGGCCATGAACCTCACACTTAAATCCACCGTCGTGCAGAGATCACGTGAACACACGCGCACACACACACACACACACACACACACACACACACACACCACACACACACACACACACACACACACACACCCACACACACACACACACCCAGACAGATCAGACTGAGAGAGGAGTGTGTCAACCAAGGCAAAAGATTCAATGCAGAATCAGCATTTCTGCTTTTTGATTTGGTGACTTTTCCCCACTTGGTTAATTCACTTCCTTAAAGACATTGATTCTCTTTTCTTCCTGTAGAAACCTGTGGTCAACCTGAAGCTGTCCATCCACGGTGTGAGCGTTCACAGAGAGGCAGAGTACTCACAGGCTGTCTGCCTCAGACGCCGGCAGCTTGGACGGGAGCTCTGGACTCCACGGCATCTCAGGGCTCTGCTGGGTCACACAGTTGACCCGGCCGTCCGCAGGATTACATCTCAAAAACTTATAAACGGCCGTCCTCGGCGCTCCTACGAGACATGAAGCAAATTCACAGATGTTCAGATCGAAAACGTTTAAATACGCAACCTCACTCATTTTTGGAGTATTTCGGGAGATTACAACATTATTCTGCAACATGATGAAAAAAAGAAAAGCGACTTTATTGAATCTCTTGAGTTATATTTTAGAAGAGGAAGTCACCTCAGCTTTTTCTCAACACGTTGCTGCAAGAGGCTCGTGTTGCTCCTCGGTTGGTGAAACTCGTTCAGTTATAAGTTGCACAGCCTTTAAGAGTTTCGTCGCTACGATAACGGCCCAAATGTGTGCCTCTACACTGAAATGATGCACAAATCATTGATTCAGGTCTGTTAGCGATTTATGCAAGCTTTGTGGCTCTTGAGAAATCTTAGGCATGGATGAGGCAAACCTGATGAAAAAAGGATTTCACATGAAAGTGTGTGCAAATGTTTCGCAACACACTGATGCTGCTGCCAAAGGTGTGTGAAGCCTGAGGCAGCGTTTAATTTGGTGCCTGGATTCGATCACAGAACCTCTTTAAGCTCAGTTTATGCTCTTCATGCTTGATCGTTTCTTCCCACATTGCACTTTTTATGTCCCTTTTTATATTCTTGTTTCTATGCTGGCGTCTTTGTGATTTCAAAGTGTTTTATAGGTGCTGTGTAAATAGATTTTACTTACTTTACTTGCAATCATAATAAGAATATGTTGCTGTATGACCCTAATAGAAGATTCTGAGTTAGTTTAGTTGGATGATAATCAGAATTTTCTTTTGTTTTTTTCCCCCTAAGTGAGCTTGTTGACAAAAAAATCAAAACTGAAACCAACGAGAACAGTCGTCAGTCGAACTGTATTATCGAATATAATGAATTCGTTAACTGTTTATCTCAATTAAATGACTAAAATACGACCAAAAATGGTTCCAAAATGGTTTGTTTACAGATACAAAATGGAGGTAAGAAGGAACGAAACAAGAGGGCAGTTTGTGTGCATATTGGCAAAAGGGTGAAATAAGTGACATTACATTAAATACAACCATTTAAAGAGTTCAAAGTATTTTTCTCACCAAAATACATATAGCAGAAACTAACCCACACTGGCTATAAAATACAAATTATAGTAATTTAGGCAGAAGCAGGAGCGAAGTTTGCTCATATTTTAAAAAGTAAGTTTCACCTCATGTTTGGACATTTGAAGTCACAGATTATTGAGAAAACTACTTTCAATTGATTATTTGTCAAATATTAGAAAATGACATATATATATATATATATATATATATTATATATATATTATATATATATAATATATATATATATATATATATATAAATAATTTTTTTATTGACATTACAAGTAAAACCATTTCCAGCAAATAAAATGGAAATCTTTTTTTAGTGCACTCTGATAATTTTTCTGTGGAAATAAAAGTGAACAAATATTTAGTCTCACTTTTACATCAACTTCCTGTGACGTGACAAACTCTCCGGCATGATAAATAAAATCTACTGGGTTTCCCCCCCCCCCTCAATGGGTTTCCATTGTCCAGACTTTGAGGCCTGCAGATTTTCCTCTTTCACATCTTCAACATCATCGAAACCAAAAACCTTAAAAAAATTAAAACGTGTCGAGGTATTTTCGCCTAATTTATGAAATAAAGCCGCCGTGGAGCAGCAGAAGTGGGTGTGTTGGGTTTTAGGGAGTATTAGGAGGGGATCGTAAACCGACTCAGTCATTTACTGGAATCCAATTATGCTTGCGCAAATCATGCGTTACGACAGAATTAAAGCAGTTCGACTTTTTTTTGGGGGGGGGGGGGGGGGTTCACCAATATTTCTGCGCGGAGTTGTTAATATTTGCTTCATGATGTGTAAGTTCAGATTAAATCAAATTAAAAGTGCGCATACTTGTAGTTTACAGCCCAAATAGCCCCCCAAAAGGAGCAGCCCTCTCTTCTTCCTGCGCACCAAAGAGCCGCTAAAAAAGCCCATTAATGGTCTCACCTTTTCCCTCATGCAAGGCGAGGCAGGCCACGGCGAGGAGAAGAACCACTTTCATCCTGGAAGTTCAAACTTCTTCCCTCCCAAAACAACAGCAACAACAAAAACTCCCCGACACGGTGGAAAAGCGCTCCTGTCTGAGACGAAGCCTCTGCGTAGTGAGGAGCAGAAACGTGAACTGCGCGAAGAGCTGCAGGCTGACAAATTCCCCGTGAAAGCAGCAGCTCGGCCCACCGTGTGCGTCATGGTTTCCTGGAGTCTTTCTTCTTGTTCAGAGCTCAGGCAGTGGAAACTTCTGCCTTCAGATAGCACGAATTGAGGAAGCCCATAGAGATAAGAGGCCAAGATTCAATCTGCGTTGGGTTTTTTCTTCTTCTTCTTTCTTCTTCTGCATGACAACAGGAAGGGCAGAGGAAGCGACAACTGGGCTTCATGAGCTGCCCGACTGCTTTAGTTGTGGATTCAGGACTTCTGACAGTTCAAATGTTGACTCGTCATTTACGGCCAGAGTTGTAAAAAACAAACAAACAAACAAACAAAAAACTTCTCTACCCTTTTTATTTTCAGTTTTTGCAGCGCCAGAAGGATTTGACAGGAAATAGAGGCAGATATTTAATTAAATTAGTCAAAACTTCACCATCAGCCTGTCGTCACTGCTGGGCAGGAAAACCCCACGCCGCTCCTTCTTTCCTGTAATTCACACTTAACGAAGAGGTGGGAATTAAAACTTTCTATTTGGAAAATTTTATTTCTTAATATCACCTTCTTACATAATGCTGATGACGTGTCAGCTTCTGGCTGCCAGTTCACAACATTTGAGTTACTTGGAGGCACATTTGTAGGTATATGTCAAAGAGACTCAATGTTTTGTTGTGTGACATGATGGAGAGATCAAAACAAATCATCCGAGAAGGGAATAATCTGAGCGACAGCTCTTTGTCTCACAGATTAATGAGCGACACAAAGCTGGAATGTCCCTGTGTCCAGTCTTGGACCTTCGTGGACTGAAAGGCCCATCAGGGAGGAAGAAGCAATCTAAAATTCACCCAACTGAGATCAGGATTTATGCACATATGTCTGGTTGTTTTTTGATTAAACGAAAAAAGGAAGCGTTTGGGCTCAATGACCTTTATTACATGTGGAGAAAAAAACAACAACTACTTGAATACTGTCGCATCTGTGAAGTAAAGGAGTGGCAGCATCATGCTGAGGAAACGGGTGATGTCATGAGAAAAGAGCATGATGTTCTTGATGTGACCACATGACATTAGGCAGGAAGTGAAAGCTCGGGCACAGCTGACTCATCTACAGAGTCGGTGGTATGAAAATCATCAGATTAGTAAAACCAACAAAGTGAATATTCTGAATGGACTTTAACCTATTGATCAATTGAGGGAGGGGCTGAAGGTAATCAACTCAATCAGTTCTGTATGGATTAATGGGCCAAAACGACAAAAACGTTTGTGGAAGAAAACCCAAATCATGCCATTAGAGAAACTTCTGGACCCTTTTTTGCTCATCAACAGCTAAATTATGCACATTAGTGAAGCTTATTGATCAAAAACAGGAAACATTCAGTGTGGTTTGGCAGCTGACATATATAAAGTTTTATAAATATGAGGTTTTGTGCATGTGATCCCAGTAACCAGAGGCGCAGCACCAACCGTGATATTAATACTGACTGACCCTGATTCTCACTGGTTTAATTAGTTAATTTTGCTTACTTGTAGTTTTTTTTAATGTATTTTGGTGTGCAGGTTTATTTAGCCTGGCTTAGTAAATACTTCACCTTTAGATGAAGTGGTGATTATTTTAGGTTGTTCTCTACCAGCAGTGCACACTTAGAAAAATTAAAGTCTGTTTGTCTGGTGTTGTTGTTCTGCATGGAGGTGAACCTCTGCCCCAATATCAAGTTTACTACAGCCTCCCACCTGAGCTGCAGACCTCTGCAGCTCCTCCATAGTTTCCATGAGCCTCTTGGCCTCTTTTTTTGTGTGATAAATTACCTTCCTTCTCCTATGAGAAGTGTAATTATGGAGGCCTATTTTTATGTTAATTTGTTGAATTCCTGTTGAAACTACCAAAAGTGTTTTTTTTCCCTCCCACTCTCTTTGTCTTGGTGCTCGTTTCTAAAAGCAAAGACGACCTCGTATGAGAGAGAAAGAGATCTTTCAGCTGACACATCACTACGGTGCTGAAGGAAGTGGTAGCATTGGTTGCTATCATTTTCCTTCAGGAAATGACACACTGGCCCTGTCACATCACGTCTTTGCACAACCGCACTCACACACAAACACATGCTTCAATGGAAAGACTCTTATAGGCGTAAATGTTCAACTCAGACGGTAAACATAGCATGTATCCTTTTGACGCTGCTCTTTTGCCAAGTTGATCAATACCTGGTCCTATCAGCGGTTTGGTAATATGTTTCTGGCTCATCCAAGGGTTAGTTTGATAGCTGCTATGTTTCCCTGTAGCAGTCAGTATCGCAGAGAATAGCAATCTTCCCACCGCGTGGTTTTTCCTCCCATCCCGTCACAGTATGTGGGTTCAAGTCTATTGTCTGAGGAACCAGAGTTTATATCACACGGGGTTATTTTCTCTCGCTCAGACAGAGCAACACGGGATCCACCCATTAGCATACATAATAACACGGAGAAGAGGTTTCATCCAGCATGTTTACCAGCAGTAACACTAAGTCATCCTGCTCTACATGACTTCATCAGTCGCACATCATCGTAGAGGAATTTTCACAACAGTTCTAGTTCACTTCAGTTCATCTGTTGGACAGATGGTCTCACATTTGTCTGACATACTTTGGCTTGTGGCAGATCTTATTGTTGTCTCTGCCCAAGTCCTAAACCAGCAAAATAAGTCAAATGTGCTCGATTTTCGGTTTGGGGTGTCTGTGATGAAATGCCGTGTTCTCACCAAACGTCTCAACTTTGGTTTCATCTGCATAAAGACAAACTATTCCTACAGATTCAACTTTGCAGTCTTGAGAACTGCTGGCTCCTAAGGCTTTCATTCTGGCAGCGTTTGCACACAAACCGAACCAGTTGAGCACGGCTTGTAAAACGGTAAGGCCTGAGGGTTTTTAAGATGTGGTTTTCGTGGTGGATTGCATGATGTTGCCTTGTTGTTAACTTGCTTAGCGCCTGTCTTAATGGATTTCCATTTGTGAGTATTTTCTATGTATATAATTTTAAATGTATATTTCCAATGCAAACAACTATCATAAACATGATTGTTGCTTCATGCTTTACTTTATATATGAAGTAAATTATATATTATATTAATATATTTCAGAAATGTGCAGTGTCTGCACTAGTTCAGGTTCTATTAAAGCTGGGAAATATGAATTTAGTTACGGTACTTAAATATATATATGTAAGATTTCTAACTATTGCTGACATGTCTATGTGTCAATATTTTTCCATTTTTACAAAAGAACTGTTTTGAAACAAGCACTCCCACAAACCTTCACTCTTGCTGTGACTGTCGACTTTGTGATTTGCTCTTAACTTTAAGAAACAAATTACTTCTGGTCTCTGAGACAATTCACCGGTGGACTCATTACTTTAGCTTGTCAACTTCCACCACAGCGGCTGCTGGGCGGATTTGTGGCCTCACCAAGACGGATGGTTTAACTTGGGAATGTAAAACATCAGCTGAGTACACCATAGAATCACCAGACTGCCATGGCGTGAAAGCCACACTGTCTTCCACTACTAGTGCTTCACCACAAACCTCCATTGCCAGCACAGAGGAAGCAGCAGCAAATGGCTGAGTATGCATGGGTTCATGGCTTGCTGGAAATTGGTCAGGATGTCAGCCCACACGTCTGACCTCTTTCGCAAATGCTCTTCTTCAGCGTGGAACTGCAACGTATGATTAAGTCATCTTTGAATTTGACGGCGATGCAGTTTTAGGCACGCAGTCTGATGCAATGTGCACTTTGTAAAGTAGGTTGCGATTGTTCTAATTTATAGAAAACAGACAAAGGTGACAGCCAACACTGCCTTACTGGAAATGGTTCCATCACATAAACATGAATTTATAGACCATAAATAAGCAGCTGCATTATGTTTAAAATAAATAATTGAAGTTTAAATTATGTTGTTTTTTTACCCTCTGAGCATTAAACAGATTGTTGACTTAGAAGAATAAACCTAAAACTCATTCAAAATGTCAGTTTTAAACTGACATTTATTTTTTATTCAAAATCCGTAAACTTCACTTTAGTTTAGGGCTAACAATAGCGATTTATTTTTAGCTATTGTTAGCTAACAATACCAACAGCTATTGGTATTAAACCATTGACCAATGTCAATGGATTAATACCAATGGATTGTCAATGGATTCAGTGCTGAGCCACGACCGCACAGCATTCTGGGAGATGTAGGCAGAGGAAAAATTCATCTAAGCTAGTTAAGCTAAGCTAGGTGAGCGGCATCGGCTAACTCACTCCCTCTTTGGTTGCTTAACAACAGCCTGTTGAGAAGCAGCAGCAGTTTCAAGTTTCGCCACCATCACTTATGACTGCTTCAAAATGAACAACAGCGTGACGCGACCAGAGAAAATGAGTTCAAAACTGTGCAGCAAAACACAAAAGGTCACGACACCAGTTTGGCAGTATGTGTCTAAAACAAAACAAAAAAAATTTAATCAATAAAATCCGATACGTTTTTCAGCCAAATAGTTCATCCCTACTTTACATGATGTTTTAATGCATCTAAAGTAATTTAATCCCTATCAGCTGTTCTTGTTTTTAAAATGTTAAATCATTTGGGTGTTTGCTACTATTGAATCCCCTGAAAACAATTTTTCACAAGAGAAAATTTGATGCAAATGAGCTTTGATATGAGCCAGTAAGGATACAAGACCTTAAATACCAGGGCAGAAGATAATAACATTTCATTGCTCGTTAATATGAAAGAGGGTGAAGTCTGGAAATCCTGTGAAAAAATGTCAGTGTGTCTGTAAGGAAAGTGGACGTTTGGGTGTCTGCGGTGATTCAAACAGGACAAATATCTCAAAGTTCAAAGAGGTTTTGTTTCTCAACAAGCTCTGGAAGGTGAGGCAGTGGCCATTGCACACAGCTGCAAAAATGAAGAATATTGAAATGAAGGGAGTAATCCTTGTTCTGTGAACTCTGAAGAGTGAACTCCGAAGAATGCTAGAAAAGCTTCGAGTCACATGAAATTTTTT